TACCGAGATTATTTATAAAGATTATATTTTTATTTTATTTTGTAACATATTACCCAGGATTTTCAGATTTCGTTATCCAAATGTATTATTATATGGTGTCCACAGAATCTCAAAAGATTTTCTTCTTTAAGATGAAATTATATCCAGAATTTTTACTCTGATGAAGAAACAATGGAGATGACAATATCACAGTTGTGCTCTGGGACTAAATTCTCAATCTCTTCATCACCATCACTGTTATGTATTAATGGAAACAGTAAGAGTAGAGCTGTTTCAGTGAAGTACTTGAAAGAGACAGAGCAGTTGAGTAATAGTATTAGCTTCACTGCGAAGAAACAGACAAGTCACGCGCCGGTGGTGAGAACAAGACGCGCCTCCTTGAATGAAGATCAATCCCCAACTTCCGGTGCCGGAGGAGAGCGGTGGCTTCTCCAACCCGTTGGTAAAACAGATCAAAGCAAGTTTCACAAACAAGAGCTTTTTTTTTTGCTTTTTTGTTAAATCATTTTTTACAGGCGATGGAGATACAAGACACATTGGTTACAAAGTAGAAATGCCTAAACCTTTTGAGATCTCTTCGGTAAGAAAATTTATACAAACTCCTTTGGTTGTTTTGTATTTTATGAAGCTCATTAACAATGATTGTTTTTGAGCAGGGCCAAGTTACCATCGGACGGCTACCGGAAAAGGCTGACGTAGTGATTCCTGTGGCCACTGGTATTTACCCTTTTCTTATTGCTCCCTTTTAGGCTTTTTGGTTTTTTGTTTTTTATATTTGGATTTGTAATCAAATGTGAAATCGGATCTAGTATGGCATAATTTTGGTTTCGGTTTGAGTTCGAGTTGTAATCAAATACTAGATATCTTTGCTTTTCCAGTAGGTCCGGATTTGTTACTTGATACTCGGTGTTAGGAAAAGTAAAACATCATTCTATCCGAATAAGGGGTCGGTTCTATTTTCGGGGGAAAAAAAAACAACTTTCTTTGGTTTAGGAAGCATGCAGTATGAATTTGCTTGGTTTGGATCTGTTGTGATAAATCCGGATTATAAACTCCTAGTTTTCCAACCGCAGTGTCGGGAGTCCATGCGACAATCAATACAAAAGGAGACAACCTTCTTGTAACAGATATGAACAGCACCAATGGTACATTCATCGAAGATAAGCGTCTAATTCCTGGTGTCGCTGCTCCTGCCTTTCCTGGTACCCGAATCACCTTTGGTACGCCTATTGTTTTCCTGTGTATTTTCTCATTCATCGTGAATGTAATGGATCGATCAATGAGCTTCTTCGCTTTTCTTGATTTGCAGGAGATACAAATCTTGCAATTTTCCGTGTTTTCAAGCTCCAAGATAGCCAAGAATCAACAGAGAAACCGGCCGCAAAGTAACAACAGCCGAAATCTGCTTCTCTTCGCTTGCAATTTACCGGGTTTACTTGTTCTACAACATTGTTGAAGCTATTGGTATATAAACAAAACTTCTTTATATAATAATAATATTACAACATGTATATTATTATGTTTAAGTATGTTACAAATTAGGTGTGACAGAATGGGTGAATGGATAAAACATAAGCTTTCAGGTTTTCCACAGACACAACAACAAAACATTTACAGAAAGCAAAATCTCCACATTTTTTTTTTTAATCTTTAAAACTCTTCACGTACATATTTTTTTTTTATATATATGGATTTATATATTTTCCAGGTTTCTTCATAGTCTTGAGACCTCAATCAAGTCTTTCAGAATCCGAAGAACTGAAAACAAAAACAAGTAAAAATATATATATATAGAAGTAAAATTAAGTCTGCATAATCTTTAAAAAGAGTATTTCAAAATGTGTGTTGTTTTGGTTAC